AGTAGTTAACTAATTACTGGGCACTGAGTGAAGACTAGATTAAAAGATAAACACTCCACGAGGACAACCCTAGGAAGGGCACCACACTATTGTGAGTTTTACCTCCAGGAGTAACACCAGGTTTTCATGGTAAAGTTGGGAGCAAATAAATGCATAAATAAAATAAAGAGTCAATGATGATTTCGGGGTTATGGGGTTGTGAAAATGATTCATGAGCTGGAGGGTAGACAGTTGTCAATATGGGTGACAGGGAAGGCAATATACAACAAGAGGGAGGTTAACAGAGGAAAGAAGAAGATAGTGGGAGAGACATAAGGAGGAATAGAGTAGTTAAAGTGAATAGAGGTAAATAGTGTTGTAGTTAAATTGGTACATGTAGGGATTTGCAATCATTGTAATGAAGAAAAATATATGCTTTGCTGAGTGTAAAACTGATGGTCTGCTCTGTAAACCATCACTCAATTCATAACAAGAAGTTTTTAAAAAAAAATCCATATGTCTAATGAAATGTGCAGTTAATTACCTCCATGAACAACTGTCTCCTTTGCCCCGAAGCCAGAACTGAATAGTGCCTGGACACTGTTATTGAGCATTTTGATCAAATAGTCTATAGACGAATCCTAATCAAAAGGGGGAAAATTTCAGAAAAGACTTTCAAATTCTCATGGAATCCAGAGTTTCTGAAGCCATGGAGGCTGGATGAACTCCTAAAATTACTGCCCTGAGATCATTTTTAGATCTTCAGCCAAAAATAGCCCCATAAATCTTTTTCAACAATGTTGTTGTTATGTGCAGTCAAGTCCATTTTGACTCACAGTCACCCTATATAGGGTGCTCCAAGGAGCAGCTGGTGAATATGACTTGCCAACCTTGTAGGTAGCAGTCCAGTGCTTAGTCTAACACCTACCTTGAGCATTGTGTTCTTTTAAGGTCTGTCTATATGGGACCAAATTGACAGATTAGATAGGCAATGCAGGTGTCAGTGAGTTTATGTTGATAGGGGAGAAAGATTTAGGAGAAGGAGGTTGCACCACTTGAAGAATGTGATCAATGTCACTGAATTTTACCATCTAGGAATTGTTGAATTGGTGTATGTTCTGCTGTGTATATTCACAACAACAACAAAAAACATAAATCATTAATTTTAACCGCCCCCCCCCCAAAAAAAAAGGTACCATAGACTGCCAGAAGGACAAATCTGTGTTGGAAGAAGTACAGTCAGAATATGTCTTAGAAATTTGGATGGCGAGACTTGTCTCTCATACTTCGGACATATTATTAAAAGGGACCTGTCCCTGGAGAAGGAAATCATGGTTGGAAGGGTGGAGGGTCAGGAAAACAGAGGAAGACATCCATGGAGAGGGACTAGCAAAATGACAGTAGCAATGGTCTCAAGTGTAAGGATGGCCAAGGATGAGGCATTGTATCCATCCATTATACATAAGGTCCATATGAGGTGGAACCAACTCGAATGCACCTAACAAGAGGAAAAAATACAAATGGAAGTGCTTTTCAAATTGTGAAAAAAAAAAACAAAAAAACAAAAAACAAACCAATGTCTACCTCATAGGTAAGGTGGTTGCTATGTGTTTTCGAGTAGGTTGTCACTCATAGTCCCTGGATAGGGTTTCCAAGGTTGTAAATCTTTGCTGGAGTAGAAATACTCATCTTTCTCCAGTAGAGTGGCTGGTGGACTTGAACAGATGACTTTGTGTTTCAAAGTCCAGTGCTTATCTATGGAGCCACCGTGCTCCTCATGTTGTTGTTATTGTTAAGTGCCGTCGAGTTGATTCCGACCAATATCGACCCTGTATAGGGTTTCCAAGGAGTAGCTGGTGAGCTTGAACTGTCGACCGACCTTGCAGTTCAAACGGCTTTACAGTCTGATGCATTAACCCACAGCGCCACACCAGGACTCCCCGTTGTTGTTGTTGTTAAGTACAGTCGACTCCCCAAAGGTAGGGTTAAATTTGATTATATTAAAAGCCCATGATAAGTACTCAATAAATGTCAGTCAATATTTGTACTATTATAAATTCTCCTTTACTGGAAAACAAAGTTCAGAATCATCAGTATCTCAGATAGTGGTGGTGGTTGTTGTGTGCCATAGCGACCCTATTTAGGATTTCCGAGTCTGTAAATCGTTTTGCTTTTCTCCCCCGGAATGGTTGGTATATTTGAAATGCTGATCTTGCTTGGCAGCCCAGATCATAATCTACTATGTTACCAGGGCTCCTAGTAGCACAGATGTTGTTGTTGTTGTTAAGTGACATTGAGTTGGTTCTGACTCATAGCGAATCAGATGTTGTTGTTGTTGTTGTTGTTACGTGCCATGGAGTCGTTTCTGACTCATAGTAGCCTTCTACAGGGTTTCAGAACATGGAATCTACGAAATATTTAGTGGCAGCATCAATGGGCTCAAGCATGGCAACATGAGTGAGGTTGGCTCAGGATCGGGCAGTGTTTCATTTTGCTGTGCATAATAAGGTCGCTATGAGTCAGTACCGACTCAATGGCAACTAACAACAACAACAACACAGGGTACCCGAGGCTGTAAATCTTTACGGGAGCAAAAAGTCGTATCTTTCTCCCACGGAACAACTGGTAGTTTCGAACTGCTGACCTTGAGGTTTGCAACCTGATTCATAACCACTACTACCAGAGCTCCTTAGTGGCTGATCAAAGGTTTCAAACCAGATCCAGTCTGATACCAAAATGGAGTCTGTACCATTAACCATTAGGTTATTGGGAGCCTAATCAACTATATATATATAATATTCTATTTTTTAGAGTAGTTTTAGGTTTATAGAAAGTATACAC